AATGCCAAAGATATTATAGCTTGTGGCTTTGATGTCAAGAAGACGTTCATCTTCTCTGATATCGATTACATAGGGTAAGTATGATGACCATGGTCTTGGATTGTGGTGAAATGATGATGAGGGCAAATGCTAATTTAAATACTAATTTATTGGTCGCAGTAGTAAGGGCTGTCATTAAGAGGTGGGGGCAGGGGATTTCCCTTGGCCACTATGAACATGGTCCCCGGCTACTTTCATAGTAAAACAGAAGAAAAATAGAACCAAAAGTAACCCATAACTGTTTCATTCCCTGCCAACTTGTTGTATTTACCTGGAAACTTGAGATCTTAGTTATGAATAAGCAATTTTTACTAAAACTACATGACAGTGTATTATTTTTTTCTTTCTAACTTTCAGGAGCAGCTCAGAATTTTACAAGAATATCATCAAGATTCAGAGATGTGTGACTTATAACCAAGTTAAGGCTATCTTTGGATTTGATGACAGTTCATGTATAGGCAAAATAGCTTTTCCTGCCATTCAAGCTGCACCATCATTTAGCCACTCCTTTCCCCATACATTTGGAAGCAGAAAGGATGTCCCATGTCTTATTCCATGTGCCATAGATCAGGTATGCTGCAAAAACTGGTTATAATGTGTACACAAATAGATAGGGTATTGATTGGGGCCTAGCTAGGACTTCTCAAAGGAGGAAATGGGGGGGGAGGGGTCACACTTTTTCAAACCATAGTTAGTAGAGGGGACCCCCATAGTTACCATACTTACCAGACTGCCATGCAGATGTTACAGGTCAAAATTAAATTCAGGTTAAAATCTTTTATTCTAGCAATGATTTAAAGCAATCTTTTCTTACTTTTTCAGGATCCATACTTCAGAATGACTCGTGATGTTGCTCCACGTCTGGGTTGTCCAAAACCCTCTCTGATATTTTCNAGTAGAGGGGACCCCCATAGTTACCATACTTACCAGACTGCCATGCAGATGTTACAGGTCAAAATTAAATTCAGGTTAAAATCTTTTATTCTAGCAATGATTTAAAGCAATCTTTTCTTACTTTTTCAGGATCCATACTTCAGAATGACTCGTGATGTTGCTCCACGTCTGGGTTGTCCAAAACCCTCTCTGATATTTTCCACATTCTTTCCTGCCCTTCAAGGTGCTAAAACAAAAATGAGTTCCAGTGATCCAACTTCTTCTATATTCCTTACTGACACACCTGCTCAAATTAAAAAGAAGGTAGATATTTTCATTATTTTGTTCTTTTAAGCACCTGATTCCAGGGGGTACTTCAAAAAGTTTCATACGGGGAGGAGGCCCAACCCAATACCCCTTTTCCAAATAGTTCCTGTGGGAAAATTTGTAAATATTTGTGAGAAGTACCTGAGTACTAAAATATTACCCTAATTCAAAACCAAGTGTGGTTTGGTACAAAACTTCCTGTAGACAAAGAATGAAGAAATTGTTGGTGTTTGATGTGATGAAATAGGGAAAATGTCATCTGAAAAAACAATTTTTGCTTTGGGTTTGGTTACCATGGCAACAACTTAAATGAAAAAGTATGCAACTATAGTAAACTTGCTGTAGCTTACAAAAATAGTTCTTTGGTATCCAAGAGTGCTTACTACTTTGGCTTTTTGTGTTCTTTTTGCCTTTCTGAATTTTTGTTTTAACTGTATCACAGTTAGTTGAGACACTATGGTCTGTAAATTGACAGCAAATATCCTAAGAGGGGGTATTTGCATCCATCATATCTCAGTAGTTAGCATGGGGACCTCCATTTTTTATTTTCATTTTTGCATGTATTGAATTTCACATAGGGAATGTTTGACAAAAATTTCAGCACTTGGAACTTCAATTTCAGAGAAATAACCTTAAGCACAGACAGATTCAGGCTGGGTTAAGCTTGCAAATAAAAAGAATCTCTCTATGACTATTGATGAGACAGTCAAATAATTAAGTGAACCTTTTGCAAGCATATGGAACTGCTCAAGAAATCACGCATGTATATATTGGGGCAATGCATGTGACTGTTTGACACTGAAGGTATAATAAGTTCTTATTCATTGCAACAGGTAAATAAGTATGCTTTTTCTGGAGGCCGGGATACAGTTGAAGATCACAGAAAGTATGGTGGAGATATCACTGTGGATATCGCTTATCAGTATCTCACTTTCTTCCTGGAAGATGACGAAAAACTTGCTCAGATAAAAGAGGTACTTAATTTTCTTTTAATGTTACTACACCAGTGCTTCTCTTTACCTTGCATAATATTTATCTTTATAATAGGCATTCTCCATATTATCCACTAAAGTTATCCATCTGTAATATGGAGACCTTTGGGACCAGCAAGAAGCATCCATCTTTAATAGAGAAATGTCCATCCCCAGAATGATAGTCAAAAAAGGAGTAAAGAAAGACAGGGACCAACTCTAGGTATTTTTCTTAAGCAGCGGCCTTGGAAGTGGAGAATAAAGGAGAGGTTCTTTCTCTTTTCCCCCGTCAAGGAGCCTGGTGGTGTCAAGTACCAGTGTCTCTAATTTAAAATATTTATGTTTTCCAGGATTATTCAAGTGGCAAAATGCTTTCAGGAGAAATAAAAAAGGAACTGATTTCTGTGCTACAGCCATTAGTCGCAGAGCATCAAGAAAGAAGAAAACATGTCACAGAAGATGTTGTTAGAGAATTTATGACTCCAAGAAAACTGGAATTCCCTGGTCTTAACAAATGAATGCAAATGGGATGCAGATTCAATCAATTTGCAATAACTTAAAATATCATTCGGATAGCTGCTGTTTCATATTAAAGTGGGTAATCACACCCAGATTTATTAAAACATTTGAAGAATTACATTATTGGAGTGAGATGTGCAACACTCTGCTCCTTCCATTATTGGTGCTAATATTATTATTGGACCTCTTCTTTTTATTGGTCCATAATCTATACCTTCCTCAGGTACTTAATAACGAGCTTAAGCCATGAGGATAGCAACGATATGGACAACATTAACTAAAAAGTGAATTCGTGCTGTTTCAAACTTCATTGCTCTTTAAATATTCCAACTCTTTTAATTTTGTCAAATAATGACGATTTGTTCAGGAGTTGAATTTTAAAGGACTGAATCTAAGTTTAGGAAAAGAAAAACAAAATCATTGCCTTTTGCTCGTGTCCTCCAACGTGAAATTAGGAAGTTTCACGTTGTACAATGATGACAAAGCAATGTACAAAAAAGCATGATGCAGCTGCTTTTTTGCCTTTCTTGTTGCTGTCACCATCGTTGTTGCTTAAGCTCCATAATACCAGTGTGTTACCAGCCAAGAATTAGGTGCATTTTTTGATCCTTTATCTAGACAGTGTTTTGTGAACTGCAAACAGTGATCACTGATCTCCGTGCACCTGTTCAAGTTTATGGACAGTACATGTACAGTTGTTTGAAGAGTCATCAAAGAATGTGAAGATGTTCATCTTAATAAAAACTTCTAGAAAATTCCTGTATGATATGTTTTTGCAACCAGAAAATTAAACTCCTGATATTAAAAGCTAAGATTTTAGAGGCAGTGACCTGAGTGACATTAGACTTTTGAGGTTCTTTTGCAGAGAACAGGCCTGACATAATATTTGTTTAGTTGTCTCCCAAGTGAAGCACTTTCAAAATGATCACCATTTGTTCTCTGTAGATTAAACCTCATATCGCAAGACAATGTAAGAAATATTAAACTATTTTTTCTTAACCACTGTGTTAATTTCCTGTGGTGTTGCAACCAATATGTTTATTTCCTCTTACAAAAGTGAATGATAAACCTGTTAGGTAATACATCTTTCATGAAAAATATTAATATCAAAATAGTACAAAATCATCATAAAAAGCAAGAAACAAAATTAATATATTCATACACCAATATGTAAAACAGCTGTAAAAAGGAGATCATAGCATTTATTTATAGTAATCAATGATGAACCTCTGTCAAGCTGCCATTAAGTAGCCATTCTCTATTTTTTGACGATTTGTTGAGTGCACAAGCAAAGTGACAGTGAAGCAACGAGCATGAAGCACAGGAAAGTTGGCAAGAGTCAAGTTTATTCTAAATTTTCAGCAGCTGCTACAATCGCTACTTTTGAGATAAATGGCTGAAAATTTACAGGTTACCTAAGTTTATATGCTTCTTCAGTTGCTGCTCAAATCATTTTTTTAAAAAAAGAATGGTTTTCACGTTTGCAGAAAGTATATTATGTGGCCTATTAAGACCTATTAGATAGACATCAATGTGTTTTTTGCGGCAACCCCCAAGGCAAACAACACACTAATCTTTGGGTCTCCTGTGCTTCCTTGGGTGTCCTGTCTCTAGGTGTTAGATTTACGTTTGTCAGAAGCATTTTTAGCAAGTTTTTCCAGTGGTTTCATGATAACCAAACTTTAAAATGTAGCACTCTTATTGCATAATTCATACTTTGTGGCTCATGCAAACAGTTTCAATTAAATTACTTTAATATCAGGGTTCAAAAAAGGTGAATTCCAGCTTTTCCTTTAGCCAAGCAGTAATCACATTTTGCTTGCCCGTGGCCACTTCTTGCTCATCTTAGTACATGATTTTGTTAGAGGATAAAATGCTGGACCCTTGTCCATTGCACAAGTGAGCTTGAAAAGTTACTATCCCTGCAAGAAAGTAAACTTGTCCTATCCTAGCTACCAGACGGAACTTTTTTGGAGCCCTGCATGTGATTGTAAACTGGCCAATAAAGACCCAAATCACAAAGAACTTGTGATTGTAAGACCCCTTGTAGTCCTTAATCCAACAACTATCAATAATGGCCCAGTCAGGTTCTGTAATATGTAGAATTTGTATGTCAGTTCATTGTTTCTGAGATGATGTTTACGGCCCAGTATATGCATTAAGCATTATACTATAATTATAAGTAACCTTTAGATTGTTTTTCATGCTGTCTTGACTAGGAGTGACAGACTTTACCAAACATTTAATGTCACGAAGGAATCTTGGAAAAGTTTATGCTGCATCCTTGCTCTTTTCTTCCTCTTCGACAGATTTATCCAAACTCTCTTGTTCCTCAGAGTCTTGCATTTTTTGGTTTAAACAGTCATTAATTTGACCAATTAAGTCAGTACTAATACCAGTCTCTGTCAGAACAAGTTCCACCATTCTTGTTGGATAATTAGCAAGGACCGTGAAAAACATTTCTCCACCTTTTTCACCGATGTTACAACCCTCCAAGTCAACTCTTTCTAATGTTGAACTGGCTGCTAGTGCAACTGAAAGCACACGAGCTTCATTATCGCCAATGTTGTTGTAGTCAAGATAAAGGAAGCACAGCTGTGAATTGGCAGCTATGGCAATGGCAAGCTGCGTCCAGCCTTGGGGTGAAATACTTGGGTTAGCTGACAGTGTGAGGTCCAGTAAACCTTGTCTTCCTTCACTTGGAGGAAGGAGTGTGCATATTTGTCTTATGCCCTCATCTCCTAACTGACAATCACCAAAGTCCAGTGATTGGAGTTTAGGATGGGCTTGTAGTGCAGGCATAAGGCATTCCAGACCTTCGTCACCAAGAGATGTACCATGTAAGCTACAACAAAATTTTTTTGAAATATTCAAGATCAGCTTTAGTAGCATACACAGAAGACCACTGACTGGAGCTCATTATAGTTTGAAAGGGATGTGCAAGGAATAAGGCCTTATCATGACTTTGGATGCACTGTCAAATTCCCCATTTGTTTCATGAACAATTAAAAGGCAATTTGGAAGGAGAATCTAGCAGCTCATCAGAAGTCACTTGGGTGCTTATTTCTTAATTATGTTTATACCTGACAACTGGAACAATTCTTTGGGTCTTAAGATACACACTTAATTTGCACTTAGCATGAAGGAGGCGTGTGTGGCTGAGAGGTTAACACCTGGAACTCCAGATCTGGAGGTCCGGGGTTCAAGCCTCACCCATCGTGTAGTTTCCTTACTGCCTAGACAAGGAACTTTGTCTCTCTTCACCCAGGTGTATAAATGGGTATGGGCGACATACTGCTGGGTGGTAACCCTGAAATGGACTAGTATCCTGTCCAGGGGGGAGTAGCAATACTCCTAGGTGCTTCATGCTAATGAAACAGGGATAAGATCCAGCCGTTTGGGCCTTTGACTCTTGTGCCCCTTTACCTCTATGAAAACAACAATAATAGTATTTGGTACAGTTTTCCTCAATAATTATTGAGAAAGTCGTAACTGACAAACCAGATTTGTCAGTAGTTTAACAATCTGCCCATGCCTAGAGCGCTACTTCGGCAAATCCAACATGCTGTCTACCAGCTGAGTAACTAAGCACCCATGCCTTTGCTGTTCAAAAATTTGGACAATCTGGATGCGCCGGTGAAAACTTTGACCTCATCCTTGCACTCAAATATTTGAACAGCTACACATCTAAAGTTTTGCACAGTTAGGGTGGTTCCACGTGAACAGAACATCTAAACGCTCCAATTTTCAAACAGTTGAAAGTTCATCTGGTACTGTGTGAATGACATAGCCTAATAAATATGTTGTAGTAAATTTTTCATCTCAAGTAATTTATACTTCAATTTCCTTTGATTCAAGTTTATTACCATACATAAAAATACCCAAAAATAAAAGCAAAACAAAAATTACCTGAAATTAAAAAAAATAACTACAACATATACAGCTATTTTGAGAAAGGTTAATTGTTGTAAAAAAGTGCATGCAACAATCCCGAAAGGTAATATGGGATATGATCAATACACTGTTCCTGACATTGTAACTGTCGAACCTCCTTTCTGACTTCCTTAGCACTTGCAAACATACGTCCATGGCCTCTCGTGCTATTCTTTTAAATTTCTTTGAAGAATAGTCAACTCAAAACTATAACCACAATACCTTTCCCATTGTCGCATGCACTTTTTTTGATGACCTTCCTTGGAATAGCTGCATAAGTGAGAGCCGGGCACCCCACAAAAGGCCAAAGCCCAATTTTACCTAATTGTCCCAGCTGTTAATGACATTTTACCAAATAAAGTGAAACCTGTATTAAGCGGAAACACTCTATTAAGAAGATGGTAGCCGAAGTCCCCAAATTTATTTCCCTTATTTACTTTATGAAACCTTTATTATTAAAGCAGACAGACACCTAAAAAGTACATGAAATGGTCATTTCTATTGTTGCCAACCTGTATTGAATGGACACTTGTAATTAAATTCCACCACCCAATATGCCAGACACCGGAAATGCAAAAGATTGCCTCAAATTGTCACCCTGGGGGGGCTACTCCCACATATGGGCTATATAGGTACGTGCCGCGGAAAAGGGTATGGTTTTTGAGGTTCTTGGTCCTTAAATAGGGTATCTTTTTTGACCCTTGTTTCAATGTCCCTGGTGTGGTCCTTAGATGGGTAACTTAATTGTATTAATTGTATATAATTGTATTATATTATATTATTGTTTTGCTTACTGGAGTTTTAAAACGCCCGCCTAAACAAACGGTTGTTTTTAAACTTGATGTATCCGTTTAAGTATTAACAAAATGATTTTGCAACAGAGGTTTAACAGCCGTTATTAAACTAGGCTTATTCTACTATTTTATGCTTGATACTATACATCCATTATTAATAATTTTGTTTTTTCCCTGAATAGGATGTCATTTTTCAGCTTTGGGCCTTAAGAAGGGTATCAGTTTTCGCTTTCTTAGTCCTTAAATAGGGTTAGGGTTCACGACCCTCCGTGGCACACCCCTATCCAAAATTCACGGGCAAAATTCAGGGGAGTAGCCCCCTCCCCCCCCCCCCTCCCCCGGGATTGCCAACCCCAAATTTTTCGATGTTACATTAAAAAACGTGACTTGACAAACATATTTGATTTGTTTCACAGTACAGTATTGTTTTCTATTTCGTTTTGTTTGTACAGAGCTTATTTCACTTGCCTGATTTCTTCAAATTTGACTTGCAATCTATGTTTATGGTACTATGATCAATTGGTCCACTTTGATAAAGAAATTATGCCAACATATATCATCATAGTCTCTGGGAGTATTCCCGTACGAAACTTGCAGCGCTGTACAGCGCCACAAAATCGCTTCAAAATAGCTGTACAGCTAAATTACAGCTGTTTAACAGCATTTTAGAAGCCAAACAGCAGCTTAATTCAAGTTGCAGCGGGATGCAAAAGCGCTGTGCAGCCTTTGAAGCTCTCGGCAGCGGTTTTGCAGGCAGTTGCCGACTTTCAAAAGCTGCGAAGTAGCTGCAGTAACGCTACAATTCAGCTGCCCTCGATCTGATAGCACAACGTTCTTGAGATAACATGAATCGCCAGAAAAGCCTCATTACGGCCTTTATAACGAGAAAACTTTGACTGTACCTCTAAGAAATGTGAGTAAGCTTGTGCGCAGGGAAGATTACTTATTGAATAAACCTCCAACTTCTATGCTTTGATAAATTTCATTCCATGACTGGCGAGTGTGGGAATGTTATCGCTAATTCCCTGGAGACATTCTAGGCTGTAATCTAATTGGTCGGTACTTTTGCATAAGACCCCATTACATCTCTAGACAAACATTTGTGACTGTTGAATGAAAGGCGCAAACATTCATACAAATTTGTAAGTTTTTTGCATCTAGTTCTGTTTTGAGATGGAAGTTCTGTTGATGTTTTTGGATGGAACAGCTCAAAGGTATTTGTAAACAACGGTACTGTACAGTGAATTCTACGCGAAGTACCGACGAATTGAACCAGCAGAGCAAGAAACACAGATGCAAGAATCTTCGCTGGGGTATGAAAGCACTTACAAGATTCAAACGTTCAACGATAATGTACGTTCCTTAGTCCATTGTAAAATTTAACGACGACCAAAGTAAGATTGGGTTGATTTCTTTCACAAAAAAAGTGTAGCAGATCGTCGATCATGGACAAAACGTCAAGGTGAGCGATGTCAGGCTTAACGTGTTGCAACGAATCAAAATATCTTTTGGCTGTTGTCTGGTGTAAACTTTACATAGAACAGTCGCTGTTATTCTCTTTACTTTTAAAAAAAGATAAACTTCAATGTCTGCATGTTAATGGCAGTTCTTACATTAAGATGAGTGACCGTGACTGCTGAATATTTACAAAGCGAGACTGTTGCAGATTTGTTATGTCACTTGCTTTTGTAACGTGTACGCGTGGATACTAATAAAGTATCAGTTGCATTTTGACTTTCTAGTGGTTTTTACTCCTCCTAAGGCCTTGTCAACTCCTCTACCATGTTTCGTGACTATTATATTATTGAAGTCTGCATTTCCTTTTTTTTGTACTAACGAGTGGTAGGCCATTACCGGTAACAACATTCTTTGTGTTTTCAAAGCCACTTTGCAGCCACTTTGCAGTGCAGATCGTGATTCGGGAATTTTCTGCACCGCTGCAACAGCGCTGTTTATCGCTGTCAAAGGGCTTTCCACTGCAGCGCGAAACAGCCAAAATTTGCTACTGCTGCAACCAGCCCTTTTGCAGCTCTTTTGTAGCGCTTCTTGAAGTCATTCTGCAGCGCTGTGGCAGCGCTGCTCGTTTCGTACGGGTTCTAAACGTTTCCACTGTTCATTTAATTTGAATGGCATTTGACACCTCATATGATGTTATCTATTGAAAACTTTATTAGGCGGACACCTTGTATTAAGTGGACACTACAGCATTCCCCGAGGGTGTCCGCTTAAATTATACAGGTTTCACTGTACAAACGTGAACATTTGGTAATTAAAAGAAGACAAATGCTATATATACAGGTCAAGAGCTATAAGTGTCATATCTTTTTATAAATACTTACAACAATGAACTGAGGCATTTATTGACAGCCAAAGCTTCAGACAACCACTTTATCCTATGCCTTCCATTGCATACACCGAGGTTTAAGTTGAGTTGAGCTAAGGATTCACATTCTTTCAAACTCTCCATCAGTTTCTTAAAATCGTCATCATGAACTTTGCAACCTCGAAGAGACAGGCTTCGAATGCTGTTGTCGTTGAGAGAATCGCAAATTTCTTTGATCTCTTCCGCCCTAAGCTGTTCGTTGCAGATTTGAAGCGTTCCTAAAAGCATTTTTGTTGTTCAAATGGGAGGAAATATATATTTCGAACAGCGACTCTCCGGGAAAATTCTTTGACAGTCTCGTCCTTCGCCGATCCTAATTCAATCGCTATAGTTACGAAAGCGATTTGTGGAACATTTTAAGTCAGGCGTTATTGGCTGGAACCAACGAAAATCTGGGCACTAGTACAATCTACTTCCGGTTTCATAACTAGCCTGCGTAATAACAAGCGTTTCCGTGCGTTTCACATATCACTTCAAAGCTGCAGCAGTATACAGTACGATCAATTTTACGAATTAGGTTTTGTAATTTCTGCGTTTTGTTGGCAGCCATCTTGAAACAAGAGAAACAGTAAGTCTACACATTTGGTGGCAGCGGCAAATCGCGGTAGCCTAAAATAATGTACAATTCTTGCAAGGACCTGAGGACCACTTCGACAAACAGCAGCGAGGAAAAGCCGGATCTTGTTGTAGATCAGGATCAGCGATACAAAATACCACTTAAGATTTAAGGCAAGACTGATCGGACAGCTAAGGGTTACAAACTTATTTGCCCAATATTTCGACTAGTCAAAACTAGTCTTCATCAGGGGCTAGAAAAGCTCAATGAGAATAGACTAAACGGTTTCAGTATTAAGAATAAAATAAATATTGAAATAAAATGTGATTGGTGCAAACCTGCCAACTTTCCCGGTTTTCCCGGGAGTCTCCAAGCCTCATCAAATCTCTCGGTCTCCCGGTTAAAGCACCAAATCTCCGGCCCCTGGGAAATACCTACCGTGGCCTTTTTCAAATTTTTTCATTAATTTCGTTATTTTGGAGATGTCAAAAAGGAAAATAGTACAAGAAGTTGATTTAGTGCTTTTATTTGAGCAGATCTCGACCGGAAAACGGAAAACAGAGCAATCAAACTGATATATATTTATCGTAATTGGTCAGAAATCAACCAATCAAATTGCACAATGCATGGTAGAAAGTTGGCGCGGTTTTCGCAGGCTGTTATCGACGTCGGAAACATTCGGAAGGCCTTCGGGTGATTTTCGGAGAGTATTCAGACATTGTCCAAACTGACATTCTTACAATACAAAGATTTCTAGACATCTCCAGATTTTTGTACTCCGGAAGTTGGCAGGTAGGTTGGTGGAGAAATACAACAGACGAAAACTTGTATGAAGAGGCTGTTATAAAAATATATGTCAATACATTAAATTTCATCTCGTCTGCCGGTTTATCACGCTTGAACCCTATGGGATGAACAGAAGAGACGAAATTTAATCTATTGACGTATATCTTTATAATAACCTCTTTAACTTATACAAGTTTGATGAGTATTTCTAGGAAAAGAGATCGTGTTGTTTTCCTCAAATTCAACAGTGAATTTGATATTTGCGTGACAGCTATTGAGATAGTACAGAAAATGATTTGCTGCGTTGTTATTGTCGAACAAGGTGAAAGTATTGTCAACATATCGGAACCAAATAGAAGGGCGAGTGTTGTTGCTAAGTACCCATTTCTCCCCTAAATGGGACAGAAAGATATTTGCTAAAAAGGCGCCTAAAGGGGAGCCCACTGCCTCAACATCAATCTAGTCGTAGTATTAGCCATCAAAAATGAGATGGCTCTTTATTGTGGCAGGCTCAAGCAAAACTTTTAAGACTGGGCGGGGCAGTGTTGGCACATCACGAAGCGCGTATAGCTTGTCAAGACAAATTTGTACTGTCTCATCAAGAGGAAGGTTAAAAATAACGAACTGACGTCAAAGGAGCCCCTCACTCCATTGTTAAGTTTATACGTGTTGGTCCAATCTAGGCCACAGGGTCTGCGGTTAAAGGCCTCGGCGGCACAACCCCCAACTAAATTTCCCTTCCCTACCCCCCCCTGGGGCTACAATTGAGTGAGTGTAGCCTGAAAATAGTTTCTCTCTGTGTTTTTTCACAAAACCGTTTCCAGTGTGGTTGGCAAGATAGAGAGACCAACGCAGTAACTCGCCTTAAAAAAACAGCCGACATTTCACGACGCCACTACTGCTCTCTGCGCGAAATGACATCTGAGGAACGACTACAGAAATTCCATACTGATGACACGTCACTACCCAGATATGGGTAGCTCTTCTGATTGGATGAAGCAAAATTTGCATCCGATCAGAAGCACTACCAAGATCTGGGTAGTGATTTTGTCCCCTAAGAGTCGGTTACATAAGAGAAGCCTTGGATAATCTCAATCCTCGCAAAGGTGTCGGTTGTGACAACATCTCTGAGAGGTTGTTACGTTTATTGTCACCTGTAATTTCAGAACCGCCTACCTGTTTGATTAATTATTTAATTTCTATGGCCAACAATATGGAAAAGTGGTAATATAGTTCCGGTATTTAGGAAAGAAATTTCGACTGACAAGACTTGCTATCGATCAGTATCTGTTTTGACTGCCTTCTCGAAATTTTATGAGAAAGTGATGTTTGATCAAATGTACGAGGTCTTTTACTCGAGGCTCTCACCAAATCTATCTGGCTATCTGAAGGGTCATTCGTGTTGCACAGCGCTTTTAAAAATGACTCAGGATTAGAGAGTATCTCTTGACAGAAGAGAGACTGCTGCAGTAGTGGCTGTTGGTTTAAGCAAGGCATTCGATTCCATTTGCCATCCACTTTTGTTAGTCAAATTGAAAGCGTACGGTTTTACAGATGATGCTTTGGGACTTATGGCTGCTTATCTTTTAGGAAGAAGACAAAGAGTTCGAGTTAATGGTGTTTATTCTTAGTGGAGAACTATAAATGCCGGTGTACCACAGGGTTCCTTGCTTGGTCCTTCGTTATTCAATTCATATGTGAACGATCTCAATTACTTTACGGGTGATGTAATATGTCTTTGAGGCTATATGCCGATGATACGACGGAATATGCCTCCGATCCCTCCCCAACGGTCTTGTAGTATGTTATTAATTCTGATCTTAGCCTGCTATCAAACTGGTCTGAATCTAATTATTTAAAGATTGATGCAGCAAAAACGCAATGCCATTGGGCCATTGTTACGTGAATATGAACTTCATCTCAATAATAGGACTGTAGAGACGCAGGTCAATACTTTCAAGATTCTAGGGGCGATTCTGGATGGCAAATTAAATTGCAAAGCGCACATAAAAGAACAGCTTAAAAAAGCTTGCGCAAAGGCATCGGCATTGCGGAGACTACGCAAGTTTAATTCGAAGGATGTAATGGTAGTTTTCAATAAGACGTATGTGCTCCCGCCGCTGAAATATTCTAGTCCTCTTCTTTAGGGTATTGGTGATGTGAAAAAACTTTTTTCTTTGGAAAAAAAGGCCGAAGCCGACTGGGCTCTTGACTCAGAGGCCATTCTGGCTCGAGGAATAATTGTTTTAGTAAAATCCAACTAGTTGGTAAAAAAAATGGAGAATAAAAAAATTTTCATTTAGCTTCTTAAAACTAGACTTTAATTTTTTTTTGCCGCCAAAAAGCCGGCGTTTTTCGCTACAAGTGGGCTATCTATAACATATAGCCTAGTAGTAGCTCAACCAATCAGAACGCAGAATTGATAATAGACCACTAGTTGGATTTTACTAATATGGTATTAATATGGGTTATAGTAAAAGATCATAAGATTTTTCTCGTACAAATGGACGAGTAGCCAGGATTGTAAAACGATCGCTGGTTAAAAAAGTTTCTTCATGCACCATAAGAATTAGTCAGTTCTGTTCTTCATGTATTCGGCTTACAAGACTAACTTCATAACAGTGAGTGTTTGAGTCGTCACAAAACTTCACACGACTCTCCAACAAAGCTTTCCTTAATCAACATTTAGGCCACCGAGCCACCTTCCAACTAATGTTGTTTACAAAATCCCTTGCCAAAAAGACTGTCCTTGGAAATGAATAGACAAAATAGCTGGCAGATGCCTCCAAACCAGAAAAAGAACGCATTAGAAATTTAAAGTACTGCTTATAGGTGTGGACCTACAACCACTCCACTCGACTATTGACTTTGAAAACGCAGTGATTGACAACCTGGGAGTTTGACTAATATGAGAGGGGTAATGAGTCAGTGCCATTGCCCTTCATTGCTTCTGGCTTGCATGAGTTCATTATTTAGCTATTTTTGCACTTTAATTTCTAGTTTATATCAAGCATTTACGCACTCTTCATCATTTGATAAAGGCGACATAGTCTGATAGCCAAATTACATAACATTACTGTTATGTTTTCTAGAGGTCTTCTCCTTTGCGTTACATACCAATACTAAATTTTTATTAATATAGGTTGACTGTCTACTTTTAAAAATTGAAACAATAATACATAATAAAATTGATATACAAAAGTACACCATTACATTTAGTACTGATTTAACAGAAGGGGGCTTGACGAATGTGCAGAGTTTACACAGTCAGGGAATTCTCTATACCATTCTTAACACTCATGGATCATCACCAATAGTATGTTGTCGGTTCCAGCAGTCTCTATAACCACATGATCAATGTTTAAGGTGCCTTGATTATTTAAGAGGTTAGGCATCACGTCATTACTTCAAACGGCAAACGCGAATTTGTACCACGTGACCAAGTTTTCCCTGTACTTATCGTTTACTGTTCATTATTTCTACACCTAAATTACGAGTGTCAGGTAATTTTTAATCCATAAAAATTGTTTTGAGCAGTTTTTTATCTGCTCATTTTCTATTTTGAGAAATTCTGAACTTAAATCTGCCGTTTACCGTATACGTGCAGCTTAAACTCTCTACTATCCTTTGTGTTACCTACATTCTCACTTCCACCGCTTTATTTGACACTTTAAACACTCTTTATACTAGCAACAGCAGATCATAGCAAAGTAGACTGGTTATAAAAGTCGGCAAACATCAAAGAAAAAAACAACTGTGCTGCAGTTTATGGTGGAAGCTCCATGATCCCTGACCGTGCACAATCCTTTATGTTTTGTTTTCAAATCGTGACTCGGAGAGTAATTAAATTAATGCGACGTTTATATTGGTCATAAGACCAAAATGAAAGGAATGCTATTGAACATTACGTTGTGCACCTTTAAAAAAAATCCACACACACAAAAAAAAAACAGACAGGCTTCATAACTAATTCAACTCTATTAGCTAT